AATGCCACCCAAATCCAAACTCTTCAATGACACTGGTTGACTACAAATAAACGCAACAACCTTCTACTTGAAGCTTGTTAATGGAACTACAAATGTCCAACTAAATGATTAATGGCTCTCCCATTGCAAGACAAAAGAAAGGAAAATTCATAAGTCTTTACCTCAACAGCAACTTTAAATTCAACAGCTGCATTCAACATATAACAAAAAAGGTTGACATTATCTCCAAGATACATTACTATGTACCTCAAACAGCACCACTTACATAATACTACTCTGTAATCTATCTCTACCTCACCTGTGCTGTTGGATCACTACAACAAATTACCTAAAGTCAATAATAACTCTACATATAATGGCTGTATGAATGATCACCCAGTCTACTGCCAGACAACACAATCCCTCACTCCTCAAAAGCTTAAATCTACTTAATATACATAAAATTCACTCATACTACTATGCACACTACATATATAGGACAGTCAGTTCTAATATTAATCCTACTTTAAAACTTTCTTGATAGCTGCAATAGAACTCATGGGTATAATACTAGACACAAATAAATAACAAAAAAGGCACAATACCATGACTGGAATGATACACAAATAACCTGCACATAAAATAGAGAAGCTTACAACGACGTTTCGGTCAGACTTGGACCATTTACAAAGTCACACAGTGTGACTTTGTAAATGGTCCAAGTCGGACCGAAACGTCGTTGTAAGCTTCTCTATTTTATGTGCAGGTTATTTGTGTACTAGACACAAAAATCTATAATATTCCTTGTGTCTGACTTGTTCTGTGTAAAAACTCAATATGCATAAAAGGACCTAAAATATGTAACTCCTGAAGGTAGCAGATGTTCCCCGTCAGCCAGCCACTTCCAAGCTGCTGTGAGCAAGCTCCTTCCTGTCTTACTGTCATCCTCACAACAATTATCTCGTCATATTTAGTATCACAGCGTATAACTACCTTCATTCCTACCATAATTTTTCTTATAATTTTTATTTTGAATTACTGAATGCTTTAAATATTGTATAATGTAAATATTGTTATTGTCATGTACCTTGCTAGGACTTTATGTCCATATACAATGAGTCATTCTCACTGTGTCAGTTCTACTGTCAATATCATTAATATCCTGTATAGATACATGTAAAATACTATTTCTTCACTTTCTGTAATAATGTAATAATACACCTAACTAGTTTCACTCTTATTCAAGCTTTTATTAGATTATATTTTAATTAATGAAGTAATCTTAAATGATCAGTGGAGTAGTAATGTTTTTCTTGCCACCTCTGAGGACACTATATATTCCGGGGCCGTTTTTATTTTATTTTTTTTGTGTATGAAATTAGTAATTAATGATTTAAAAGTTCGTGCTTTGTTAAAAATTGTAATTACATTTCTTTTTCAGCGTTCGCCCTCCGAAAAAATCTTGGAAAACCATTGTTAATTTATCTGGTGGTGAGAAGACATTATCATCCCTGGCACTTGTATTTGCTCTCCATTACTACAAACCAACATCATTGTACGTCATGGATGAGATTGATGCTGCTCTCGACTTCAAGAATGTCTCAATTGTTGCCCACTATATTAAGGTATGGATACCTTGGTGACTCTTTATATAAACTTCTTTGAAAAATATGTACTGAGGACCATCTATCTTTAAAATTTAATTCTATCAATTAAAACCTAAACTGTGATCAGAATTATCTTCAAAACCACAAGTGAAGTTACTGGAATGGTTTATTAACTACAGTAGGGCCCCACTTATACGGCAGGTTAGGTTCCAGGCTACTGCTGGAAAGCAGAGCGCCATTTTTTTCCCACTTATAAATGCCAGATAGCGAGTTTACACTAACATATATTAAGTTAGTAATAGAATTAGACATTAAAACAATAAAAAAGTAAAATACACACACAGTACACTCATTATTTACTTCAAAATATTCGTAGTCTTAATGTAGGGCAAAAGGTGAGTAGTATTTACTGTAAGAAGTTAGGTGTAGTAGCCCCCCTGGCCACCCCCCACCCACATATAATATACTATGACGATGCTTGAAGCTCCATAGTGATAAAATGCATATGCTGTACACTCACTACTTATCTTAAAATATTTGTAGTCTTAATGTAGGTGAAAGGTGAAAAGTATTTATTTGTAGAAAGTGGCGTGGTAGGTAGGGTAGTGTGGGGAGGCCAGCCTGGCCACCCCACTCACTATGTAAACAAAGGGACGATGCAACTGGTTATGGTTCATACACATTCATACGAACACCTTACATTGTGTACAAGTTGTCGCCACAGTGGTACAGTAGAATGAATAAAGACCAACACTTTCATTCTCATGTAATTTTTAGAAGGAATGAAGCTGACAGATTATTACTTTTATTACAAATTATTATTATTACAAGTGGCAGATGTTGCAGGTGTATGGTGCAGGAGGTAGGTTACTGAAAGCAGTGAAGAGTTTTTATGAGGATAGTGAGGTTCAAGTTAGAGTATGTAGGAAAGAGGGAAATTATTTCCCAGTAAAAGTAGACGTTAGACAAGGATGTGTGATGTCACCGTGGTTATTTAATATATTTATAGATGGGGTTGTAAGAGAAGTAAATGCGAGGGTCTTGACAAGAGGCGTGGAGTTAAAAGATAAAGAATCACACATAAAGTGGGAGTTGTCACAGTTGCTCTTTGCTGATGACACCGTGCTCTTGGGAGATTCTGAAGAGAAGTTGCAGAGATTGGTGGATGAATTTGGTAGGGTGTGCAAAAGAAGAAAATTAAAAGTGAATACAGGAAAGAGTAAGGTTAGGAGGATAACAAAAAGATTAGGTGATGAAAGATTGGGTATCAGATTGGAGGGAGAGAGTATGGAGGAGGTGAATGTATTCAGATATTTGGGAGTGGAAGTGTCAGCGGATGGGTCTATGAAAGATGAGGTGAATCATAGAATTGATGAGGGGAAAAGGGTGAGTGGTGCACTTAGGAGTCTGTGGAGACAAAGAACTTTGTCCTTGGAGGCAAAGAGGGGAATGTATGAGAGTATAGTTTTACCAACGCTCTTATATGGGTGTGAAGCATGGGTGATGAATGTTGCAGCGAGGAGAAGGCTGGAGGCAGTGGAGATGTCATGTCTGAGGGCAATGTGTGGTGTGAATATAATGCAGAGAATTCGTAGTTTGGAAGTTAGGGGGAGGTGCGGGATTACCAAAACTGTTGTCCAGAGGGCTGAGGAAGGGTTGTTGAGGTGGTTTGGACATGTAGAGAGAATGGAGCGAAACAGTGACTTAAAGAGTGTATCAGTCTGTAGTGGAAGGAAGGCAGGGTAGGGTCGGCCTTGGAAAGGTTGGAGGGAGGGGGTAAAGGAGGTTTTGTTTGCGAGGGGCTTGGACTTCCAGCAGGCATGCGTGAGCGTGTTTGATAGGAGTGAATGGAGACAAATGGTTTTTAATACTTGACGTACTATTGGAGTGTGAGCAAAGTAACATTTATGAAGGGGTTCAGGGAAACCGGCAGGCCGGACTTGAGTCCTGGAGATGGGAAGTACAGTGCCTGCACTCTGAAGGAGGGGTGTTAATGTTGCAGTTTAAAAACTGTAGTGTAAAGCACCCTTCTGGCAAGACAGTGATGGAGTGAATGATGGTGAAAGTTTTTCTTTTTCGGGCCACCCTGCCTTGGTGGGAATCAGCCAGTGTGATAATAAAAATAAAATTATTATTATTATAATCATAATAAAAAAGAAGCGCTAAACTCACAAGGGTCGTGAATTGCTATATGTATATAGTGAAGGCATATGAAAGGAATATTTATCTACAGTTATCCCCCAGTGTTTGACCAGAGAAAACATAATTCTTTCGACAAACCTACAAAGCCTCTTTGTAAACAAATCTCATATTTTCAAGTTTTATTCTGTGGGTGTATGTATAATGTTTATGTGCTATATAATTTTGAAGAAAATATCATAGCTGGATTAATGAAAATGTCTATATTAATGTAAAATAAGACATTTAACCCTTTCAGGGTCCAGAGGCCAAATTTCAAAGTGCGCACCAGTGTCCAAGAATTTTCAAAAAATAATTGTTATTTTTTCTTATGAAATGGTAGGGAATCTTTTTCTGAAGGTAATAAAACAAAAAGTGCGAAATTTGATGGAAAATTGACGAAATTACGCTGTTGTGAATTTTGATGTGTCAGCGATATTTATGCATTGGTGATTTTGCTGACTTTGACTCCCATTTTAGGCCAATTATATTACTCCAGTTCGCCAAATTCTTAGCTATTTCACTAGTATTACTTCTTTTCTACCGATTGAACACAGGAAATCGCCAACCGTTTCAACTACAAAATAAAGTGATCGGAAATTTGCAACTTGGCCAATTTAATGCAAAGTTCAAAATATTCCAATTTCAAAATAGGGTCCAGAATAAACAATGTAGGTATTCCTGGCACTAAACTAACATTTCCTCTGTTCATTAGTTATGTTTTCAGGCTTCACAAATGAATTCCATTTTGATTTTTTATTCACATAATGAATTTTTATTCAAACCAAAAAATAGAAGATTTACTGTTATGCAATATTGTAATAATTGTATAAATAATATCAGCACATTTGTGAACGTATATTAGACCCACCAGCTGGCGTGTATTAGATGTGTGGGATCATTTGTTTACTCTTGAACATCGGCAAAAATTTAATATTTCTGCTATTTTTAGTTCAGTTTCAAGCCATTTCCATTACTAAAACCAATCAAAATCATCTCTGTTTTTGTAATATATCTTCCATTCTATCAAACGAGACCAAGAAATCGCAAATACAACTTTAAAAAACATACGAAAAAACACTGCAAAGTCGCTGTTTTAATTGAAAATTACAGTCTGTTTTTTTCTCTCATTAAGCACTGTGTGCTGCAGGATTTTTTTTATGTGGTGCACACATACCACATAGATGTATTCTCTCATATCTAGGCCCAAATTTACTGCTCACAGCTTATCAGAGTGAGCTGAGCTCTTGGCGTAGACTTACAGTTTGGACCCTCAACGTATAACCGTAGATCTATGGCACGGACCCTCAAAGGGTTAATGTGTCAAGGAGATTATTATTATTACGTAGTACATATTATGGCATCATGAGTAGAGAGGGAGACTTTGTGATTTTAATGTGTACTTGCATGCCAGCACAGTGTGTAAGTATATTTAGGTACAGGTACACATAAGCATAATTATCAGAGTACATGTAAAATACACAATAACTTTAAAACACTTGAAATTTTGGAAAGTTTCCAGACACAGCAGATGTGCTCACTGTGAATGTAAATAAACCGGGTGGGGCGCGCCATATTTGAAAGACTCTCTTATCATATAGCAAATTTTTGTCAAAATTTAACATAGCCGTATTAGCGGAACGCCGTAAGGTGAAACGCTGTAAAGCGGGGCCCTACTGTATTTATTAAATATTAAAGGTAAGGATGAACCAAGGATTAAGTAATTATTTCAGGGGATGTATACATGGTAATATTCATGGACGTACACATGGTAATACTCGTGGATGTACACATGGTAATACTCGTGGGTGTACACATGGTAATACTCGTGGATGTACACATGGAAATACTCGTGGGTGTACACATGGTAATACTCGTGGATGTACACATGGTAATACTCGTGGATGTACACATGGTAATACTCGTGGATGTACACATGGTAACACTCGTGGATGTACACATGGTAATACTCGTGGATGTACACATGGTAATACTCGTGGATGTACACATGGTAATACTCGTGGATGTACACATGGTAATACTCGTGGATGTACACATGGTAATACTCGTGGATGTACACATGGTAATACTCGTGGATGTACACATGGTAATACTCGTGGATGTACACATGGTAACACTCGTGGATGTACAGATGGTAATACTCGTGGATGTACACATGGTAATACTCGTGGATGTACACATGGTAATACTCGTGGATGTACACATGGTAATACTCTGTGGATGTACACATGGTAATACTCGTGGATGTACACATGGTAATACTCGTGGATGTACACATGGTAATACTCGTGGATGTACACATGGTAATACTCGTGGATGTACACATGGTAATACTCGTGGATGTACACATGGTAATATTCGTGGATGTACACATGGTAATACTCGTGGATGTACACATGGTAATACTCGTGGATGTACACATGGTAATACTCGTGGATGTACACATGGTAATACTCGTGGATGTAACATGGTAATACTCGTGGATGTACACATGGTAATACTCGTGGATGTACACATGGTAATACTCGTGGATGTACACATGGTAATACTCGTGGATGTACACATGGTAATACTCGTGGATGTACACATGGTAATACTCGTGGATGTACACATGGTAATACTCGTGGATGTACACATGGTAATACTCGTGGATGTACACATGGTAATACTCGTGGATGTACACATGGTAATACTCGTGGATGTACACATGGTAATACTCGTGGATGTACACATGGTAATACTCGTGGATGTACACATGGTAATACTCGTGGATGTACACATGGTAATACTCGTGGATGTACACATGGTAATACTCGTGGATGTACACATGGTAATACTCGTGGATGTACACATGGTAATACTCGTGGATGTACACATGGTAATACTCGTGGATGTACACATGGTAATACTCGTGGATGTACACATGGTAATACTCGTGGATGTACACATGGTAATACTCGTGGATGTACACATGGTAATACTCGTGGATGTACACATGGTAATACTTAGACTGGCACATTTACCTATTCATTTTGTTGTTTATCTTATGAATCTTGTATTATCAATTTTTTTTTTCTTTTGACAAGTGGGCCGTGTCCCACCGAGTTTATTAAAAGATTGGTTGGGTGCAAGTGCTTTACAAATTTGCATTGTTTTTCAAGAGGCAGTAAACCCGTGCGTGGTATCGATCAAGAGGAATGATAGAGGCTTGTTTGTCTTTCTGCTACTTGTAGTTCTTTCTTGTGTCATTCAGCCTCTTGTTAAATGAAGCAGAGAATGATTATTATACAGTGTCAGTAGAGTAATGACTGCTAGTGTACCTGGAGTATACCTGGTGAGGGGTTTCTGGGTTCAGCGCCCCCATAGCCCAGTCTGAGACCAGGCCTCATGGTGGATCAGCTTCATCAACCAGATTATTACTGCTGGCTGCATGTAAACCAACATAGGAGCCACAGCCCAGCTGGTCAGGTACTGACATTAGGTGCCTGTCCAGTGCCATCTTGAAGACACCCAGGGGTCTATTGGTAATCCCCCTTGTGTATGCTGGGAGGCAGTTGAACAATCTTGGGCCCCTCAGTGGTGGCAATATAAAACTTACTTTAATAAATTTGTTGAGTTAGGCATAAGAATTAACAACTGGGCATCTACACTGCAAACTGAATTGTTTGCAATCCTAATGGCACTAAAGCTAACCTATGACACTGAGCTTGACTCTATCATCATTACTGATTCTATGTCATCATTGAAGGCTCTTGACTCGTATAATGACTCCAACAACATGCTCATTGGAGAAGCCAGGTATAGATACTCAAAAATTAGGGGCAAAGGAATTAATGTACAATTGCTATGGATCCCATCACACATTGGATTACTCCTTCATGATAAAGTTGATATGTTAGCCAAGAAGAGTACCCAGAAGGAGAATGTAGAATATAACTTTGGTATAACTGTGTCTAGCATTAGGAATAATATTAGGAGAGAAGTAAATAATGAAAATGATTGTTATAGGAATGCAGTTAGAAGCCTGAGTAGATAATCTATAACCCACTATGATAACATGAACGTAGATAAGTATGTTTATGGAGCAACTTGCAATGTGAACAGACTGACTGATGTTGTAGTGGCCAGGCTTAGGCTTGGTTACAAGTACTTCTGGCAGTTTGGGAGACACACAGATGATGATCAAACTAAATGTAAATTATGTGATCAGGCATATGGTCACTCTCTTGAACACTATGTGCTTAATTGTCCACTTATTGAGGAATACAGAGACAGACAGTATAATAACCTATGTGACATGTCAAGATATCTTATTAATGAAAATAAGATACCAGATATACTAAGCAAATTTCCTAAATTTGCTTGTAACAGATAAGTGAACTAGGCCCCTTTGGGGCCTAGTTCCTAGGCCTTTTGTGTATCCATATGCTCTTGCGGTACCGTCCACAGGATGGATATGGGGTGCACAATAAACTAGCCACTTCGGTGGCAAAATCTAAAATCTTTGTCTCCAAATGGGCTTCTCTATTTCCTCATATTAACATGAGCCAGAAACAGCAGGAGCAAATAGAGACAGCAGAAATTACATTAGTTTATTTTGGGTGTAAAATTAACTTACAATATAATAATGTTTTGTGTACTTTATATTTTACTAAGATATTGTTTTCTTGTCAAACACAGGAGCGCACAAAGAATGCCCAGTTTGTCATCATCTCACTACGATCACAGATGTTTGAGCTAGCAGACAGGCTAGTCGGAATCTACAAGACATACAATACCACAAAGTCTGTAACAATCAATCCTTCCAAAATTGGCGGAAAAATTAGTAGTGACAACAGTGAGAAATCCAACACTGGTGCTGCTGTGAGCCAGACACAGCACTTCCAGCTTTAACTGCAAATAGAGTTTAGAAGAGAGATTATTGTGTGGAAATATTTGTTAAATATCACAATATAACTTTTGCTAATCATAATAATCTTGAAATACTGTACTGTACATATATTTTATAAGTCAACACAGTATTTAAGTACAAGGTGGATGACAGTGTAAAGTGCCTCTAACAGCAGTCATTGTCAATATGAGGTGGATGACAGTGTAGAGTACCTCTAATAGCAGTGTCAGTATGAGGTGGATGACAGTGTAGAGTACCTCTAATAGCAGTGTCAGTATGAGGTGGATGACAGTGTAGAGTACTTCTAATAGCAGTGTGAGTATGAGGTGGATGACAGTGTAGAGTACCTCTAATAGCAGTGTCAGTATGAGGTGGATGACAGTGTAGAGTACCTCTAATAGCAGTGTCAGTATGAGGTGGATGACAGTGTAGAGTACTTCTAATAGCAGTGTGAGTATGAGGTGGATGACAGTGTAGAGTACCTCTAATAGCAGTGTGAGTATGAGGTGGATGACAGTGTAGAGTACCTCTAATAGCAGTGTGAGTATGAGGTGGATGACAGTGTAGAGTACCTCTAATAGCAGTTTTCAGTATGAGGTGGATGACAGTGTAGAGTACCTCTAATAGCAGTGTGGAGTATGAGGTGGATGACAGTGTAGAGTACCTCTAATAGCAGTGTCAGTATGAAGGTGGATGACAGTGTAGAGTACCTCTAATAGCAGTGTCAGTATGAGGTGGATGACAGTGTAGAGTACCTCTAATAGCAGTGTGAGTATGAGGTGGATGACAGTGTAGAGTACCTCTAATAGCAGTGTCAGTATGAGGTGGATGACAGTGTAGAGTACCTCTAATAGCAGTGTCAGTATGAGGTGGATGACAGTGTAGAGTACCTCTAATAGCAGTGTCAGTATGAGGTGGATGACAGTGTAGAGTACCTCTAATAGCAGTCAGTATAATATGGCACCTATAACAACAGTCATTATCAGTATAATAAATATTTGACTTGTTATTAAGTAATATTGTGCCTAGTGTGTCCTACACTGTAAGAGCTTTGATGCAGGTGAGAGAGGTCTTGATCCAAGGAAGTGGAGCTTGCCTTCCCTTGTGTACACTGACTGCCTCTCATTCCTCGTCCACTGAATGACCCCTACGGGATTAGCACTTGCTACCTCATAATAATAATAATACTCTAGTGTTTGTTTACACATTCTTGGTTTAAATATTCATGGTGTAGGTGTTTGTAAATTCTGTTTTATTGTTTATAATTTTAATAATTTTTATTATAATGTTAGTAGTCAGTAAGAAATAATATTCATTATTGTTTTGATAACCCTAAGAACAAAGTTCTCTTGTTATTTATATATTGAAGAACATTGTTCTGGTATTGATGGTACCTTATATTGAAGAACATTGTTCTGGTATTGATGGTACCTTGAAGAACATTGTTCTGGTATTGATGGTACCTTGAACATTGTTCTGGTATTATTCTTGCCATACTGGAGAACTGTAGTGTTATTAATGATTTATTAAAGTTTTTTGTTATTATTGATGATACTTTATATTGAAGAACATCATTCTGTTATTTATATCTCATATTGAAGAACAACGTTGTTATATACCATCCATGATGAACAATGTTTTCTTTTATGTTGCAAAAGTTAAACTCGGAAACATTTTAAAATGGTTTGATTAATGTTTATAATTAAAGTAGCAGCAGATTATTTGTGTCTATATAAACACTAATGAAACATTTATGGAAACACATTACATGTGCATATTTTACACATTATAGGTAGAAGGTTGGTAGACAGCAACCACTCAGGGAGGTACTACCATCCTGTGGTAGTAGGTTGGTAGACAGCAACCACCCAGGGAGGTACTACCATCCTGTGGTAGTAGGTTGGTAGACAGCAACCACCCAGGGAGGTACTACCATCCTGTGGTAGTTGGTTGGTAGACAACAACCACCCAGGGAGGTACTACCGTCCTGTGGTAGTTGGTTGGTAGACAGCAACCACCCAGGGAGATACTACCGTCCTGTGGTAGTTGGTTGGTAGACAGCAACCACCCAGGGAGGTACTACTGTCCTGTGGTGGTTGGTTGGTAGACAGCAACCGCCCAGGGAGGTACTACCATCCTGTGGTAGTAGGTTGGTAGACAGCAACCGCCCAGAGAGGTACTACTGTTCTGTGGTATTTGGTTGGTAGACAGCAACTGCCCAGGGAGGTACTACCATCCTGTGGTAGTTGGTTGGTAGACAGCAACCACCCAGGGAGGTACTACCGTCCTGCCAAGTGAATGTAAAACGATAGCCTGTAATTGTTTTACATGATGGTAGGATTGCTGGTGTCCATTTTTCTGTCTCATAAACTGCAAGATTTCGGTAGTCTTGCTATTTCATTACTTGGGTCACACACCATACATGTAAAAGCAATATTATATATTTTAATATACACCTCTGGGTTTTTTTTGCTTTTTTTCTTTCTAGTTCTTGTTCTTTTTTTTCCTTTTATCCCCATGAGGAAAAGGGGAACAGAATTTCTTCCTTCGAAGCCATGCATGTTGAAAAGAGGCGACAAAATTTCCCGGGAGAAGGGGGTAGAAAACCCCTTTTTCCTGTATATACAGTGCCCCCCACAAAACGATTACCCCCAAATCGCCAATTATGTAAGTGTTTTTAGTAAGTGCGTTTGTAGTGTATGTTTGGGGGTCTGAAAGGCTAATCTACTTACAATATTTCTTAGGGAAAAAATTTTGGGTCGTACGGGCACCTGAACATACTTCTGGAGAAAAAAAAAACATCGTTAAGGGGGTCCATGTATTACAAAATTTTGAAAAGAGAAATTTTTTGTTTTTTTTTTTGGGCCACCCGCTCGGTGGGATATGGCCGGTTTGTTGAAAGAAAGATTTTACCATGTGCGTATTTAACATTTTTTGGCTATTTTAACAATCCTCATGTGTAAAATATAAATTCGTGCAAAATATACACATTTTACAGTACATTTGGCACAAAGGGTATTTAAAATGGGTATTAACAAGGGGATATAAATAGTCCTCGGATACCCCTTTTCGAGAAAAACCCAGTAAGGATTAAATTAGATAATTTTAGATTTAGAAGGGTATATGTTCTCCTGGGGAATGGAAAAGAATTCTTCCTCTGTAAACCATGCATTCAAGGAGAAAACTAAAATGCCGGGGTAGGGGCTGTCCCCCCTTTTTGCTGTTTATTCAAAATTTTAAAAAGAGAAACTTTTGTTTTCCTTTTGGGTCACCTTCTTTGGTGGAATAGGGAGGTTTGTGGAAAAAAAAATTTGGGAAAATTATTGTAACAAGTGGAATATCCTGGTTTGGTGTTGAAGCTAAAACCTTGGGTAGTCAATTTTTGGAGGGGAAATCATGGTGGTTGGTAGACAGAACCCACCCAGGGAGGTACTCCCGTCCTGCCAAGGATGTAAACGAAACCCGTAATTGTTTTACTGAGGGTAGGATGCGGTGTCTTTTGTCTTTCATAAATTAAAATTACAGGTACGTCTTGTACTTTACTTACATTGGTCACACTACACTACATGTACACGTTTTTTTATACACCTCACTGAGTTTTCTTTGTTTTTATTTTAATAGTTCTTGGTCTTATTATTTTCTTTTATACCAGGGGGAAGTGGAATAAGAATCTTTTCCGTAAGCCATGCGTGTTGAAAAAAGTCAACTAAAATCCGGGAACAAAGGGCTAGAACCCCCTTTTCCTGTAAATTACAAAAAAGAATAAAAAGAAGAAAATTGAAAAAGGGGGAAAGTCTGAAGTGCGTGGATTTTGTGAAAAAATGAAAGAAAGAGATGTTTGTGGTGTTAGAATGAAAAGAAATGGATGTCGGCTTTTAAGTAAACAAATGAAGGGGGTGGGAGAGTTTCAATGGAGGAATAAATGGGTTGGGCGGGGTTTAAAAAGATTAGGTAAAAAAGGAGTAGCAATAATTTTAAAGGAAAAGTTGGCGGAAAAGAGGATACAAATGAAAAAAATTTTCAAGGATTTGTGGAGTAAAAAAAGATTGGTGTGAAAAGGGGGTTTTAGAAAGCTGTATGCCCGGGGAAGAGAGAAGTGAGAGGAGAAGAGAGATTCGGGGAAATTTTGAGTGAAGGTGGGGATTTTTGAATAAAGGTGAGAGAAATGGTGGTTGGGTTTCAATGCAAAAAGGGGTAAAAATGTTAGGGGGGGAGTATAGGTTTTTTTGGGGTGCCAGGGGTAAATGTAAAGGGGGACCCTTTTAAAATTTGAGTATTTTAAAAAAGAAATTGGTAATAAGTAATACATATTTTATGAAAAGAGGATAAATAAATATACAAGGAAGAGTGACGTAATGAAAGTGTTTGTTAGATTAGTATTGGTGGATAAAAGGTTGGGGGTAGGCCCGGATGTACATGTTTATAAGGGGCAAATGATATATCGGATCATTTATTTTTGTGCTACAGTTAGAGTAAGAGGAAAGGGGGGAAAAAGGGAAGGTTTGCAACAACAATAAGAGGGGGTGAAAGTGAAAAAAAAACTAGGGAGGGGGAATTTTTGGGCGAGTATAAGGGTTTTTGGCAAAAAGGGGGGTAGGAAAAGAGAGTAGGGGGGGGGTTGAAGGGGGTTGGAATATTTTAAAATGCTATTGAATGGGGGGGCAAAGTTTGTGGTTAAGGGGGGTGGGGAGGGGGAAAGGGGAGTGATTGGTGGAAGATGAAGTAAAGGGTGTGATAAAAGAGAAAAAGGTAGTTACGAGAGGTTTTTAAAAGCAGAATGTTATAAGAAGAGCAGAGTATTGGAGATAAAAGAAAGGGAAGAGAGTGGTGAGAGAGTGCAAAAGGAGGCAGATAAAAGAGTGGGAGAGGCATGTCAAGAAATTTTAATAAAAATAAAAAAAAAATTTTGGAGTATTTAAAAAAGTTAAGAAAGCCGGGGAAAGTTGGATTTGTCAGTTAAAAACAGAGTAGGGGATTTTGTAAGGGGGAGAGAGGTATTGGGTGTGGCGGAAATTTTGAGGAATTTTTTAAATGTTAAGGAAGAAGGGAGGGGGTATTTCATCAGGGCCCGGGGGAGGTATCCCATCTTTTAGGATGAAGAAGGCAAAATGTAAGTGGGGTGGGGGTTTACTGGGGCATTAGTGAAAAAGGGGGGGTAAAAGAGCTGGAACTGGGGGATCATGACAGAAATTTTAAAAGCAGGGGGGGATTAGGTTAGGGGTTTGGTACTTTTTTTTAAATTTAAATGTATAAAGAGGGAAGGTTACCTAGGGTTTGGGCGGAGAGCATGATGCCCCTTTATATAAAGGGAAAGGGGGACAAAGAGTTAAAAAAAAATTATAGGGAAAAAGTTTACTAGTTACCAGGAAAAGATACGGTAGGGGTTATAATTGAAAGAATTAGGGGTAAGACAGAATTGTTTGCGGACGAGAAAAAGGGGTTTCAGAGTGGGTAGGGGGTGTAGATCAATTTTTACTTGAAGAATATGTAACATATTTAGATAAGGTAGGGAATTTTTTTATTGATTTAGGGATTTAAAAAAGGGCATATGATGAGTGGATGGGAGCTGTGGCGATGTTGAAGTATGGAATA